TAGGTTAGATTCTTATAATATACTTTGAATGAGATTTGTATGATTTTAGATATATATTTAATCTAAAATTAAGAAATGTATTGCACATAATTTATCCCAAAATTTCAGAAAAAAAATTATTTTAAAAATAATTAAAAATAAGAAGCAAAAAAATTTTTTTTTGTAGTGATTGCTCCGCATTAAAGGCATGTGTATAAAGACCGGATATTTGTGGCTTAAATATTTTTTTTAAAAGGAAAAAAAATTAGAAGCTTTGTGTTTTATTTACTTTTTATTTATATAATCAAAATAATTGAGGTTGATTTTGTAGTATATTTTTATTTCAGTTCATTAACTTCAACTTGATTCAACATATTTCTTCCATATTAAGTATTTTTACAGTACCTTTTATTTTAGATTGTAGATTCTAAACCTTTATGATACAGATCATTATGTATAAAAAAAATTAATTGAATCATAGGTTTTATTAAAAATTAATTATGCTTCTATACACAACACACCGACCATTCATTATTTATTTATTTAATTTTTTAATATTCTAAAATCATCTTTCATCAAATAAAGTAATCACAATAATGTTTTAAAACCACCAAATGATACCATATTTTTCAAATAATATTAAAGTTTTGTTTACTCGTTAATATTATTGAATTTTTTGTGAGCAAATACATATAAATCTAATGTAGGTACTTTCAAAAAGAATTGTGTCATGAATATTCAATAAGAATTAAAAAAAATTGATGTTTAAAAAAAATTCAATTAATTGTTGCTTTTTATTTTTTGATAAAATATTATGAAAAAAATTAAAATATTAAGAAATATTTTTTGGCTTTTTGATTGAAACTTATTATTTAAATTATTATAAAATTTTATTCAGGAATATTTGCATTAAAAAAAATAAGTTTTCTTTAAAGGAAATTTACAGATAAGATAAGGAAGAATTAATTAAATACAATAATTTATTGATTACAACTCCTTTGATTTTTATGACAACCAAATCGGTGGAGTTGCGTACAACAATATTATTAATTAATATCATGACTTATGAGATTGCTTAACAAAATCTTCCTTATATGTTTTTCATTTAGAAACTATGTACCTACTAAATATGATCTTGCTCTTTAAACCACTTACATGCCTTTTTTTTTTTTTTGTGACCGTCTATAAGGTTTTAAAAAATAAGTAATTTGTTAATTTTAACATAAATAGCTTCTTGATTTTAATGATTTTTTTTAAATTAATATCGCTCGAAGTCAAGCCTACTACAATATGCGTATTCTGGTTTTGTAAAAAATTATATAAGAAAATATCAATAATCAACGCAACTTAAATATGAATACATATAAGCTTTCACATTTAGGATAGATGCTGTTTAGACCGCTATATTACAATATGTTTGAAGCTTTTATACTCGTATATTCCTTTGGATATGCGTACAACAACACCGTTAATTAATATCATGACTTATGAGATTGCTTAACGAAATCTTCCTTTTATGTTTTTCATTTAGAAACTATGTACCTACTAAATATGATCGTGCTCTTTAAACCACTTACATGCCTATAATTTTATTTTCGTGACCGTCTATAAGGTTTTAAAAAATAAGTAATTTGTTAATTTTAACATAAATAGCTTCTTGATTTTAATGATTTTTTAAAATTAATATCGCTCGAAGTCAAGCCTATTACAATATGCGTATTCTACTTTTATAAAAAAATTATATAAGAAAATATCAATAATCAACACAACTTAAATACGAATACATATAAGCTTTCATATTTGGGATAGATGTCGCTTAGACCGCTATACTACAATATGTTCGAAGCTTTTATACTCATTTATTCCTTTGGATATGCGTAGAACAATACCGTTAATTAATATCATGACTTATGAGATTGCTTAACGAAATCTTCCTTATATGTTTTTCATTTAGAAACTATGTACCTACTAAATATGATCGTGCTCTTTAAACCACTTACATGCCTATATTTTATTTTTCGTGACCATCTATAAGGTTTTAAAAAATAAGTAATTTGTTAATTTTAACATAAATAGCTTCTTGATTTTAATGATTTTTTTAAATTAATATCGCTCGAAAGTCAAGCCTACTACAATATGCATATTCTACTTTTATAAAAAAATTATATAAGAAAGTATCAATAATCAACGCAACTTAAATATGAATACATATAAGCTTTCATATTTAGGATAGATGCTACTTAGACCACTATACTACAACATGTTCCAAGCTTTTATACTCATATATTCCTTTGGATATGCATACAACAACACTCGTTAATTAATATCATGACTTATGAGATTGCTTATGAAATCTTCCTTTTATGTTTTTCATTTAGAAACTATGTACCTACTAAATATGATCGTGCTCTTTAAACCACTTACATGCCTTTTTTTGTTTTTTGTGATCGTCTATAAGATTTTAAAAAATAAGTAATTTGTTAATTTTAACATAAATAGCTTCTTGATTTTAATAATTTTTTAAAATTAATATCGCTCGAAGTCAAGCCTATTACAATTTGCATATTCTAGTTTTATAAAAAATTATATAAGAAAATATCAATAATCAACGCCACTTAAATACAAATACATATGAGCTTTCATAGTTGGGATAAATGCTACTTAGACCGCTATACTACAATATGTTCGAAGCTTTTATACTCATATATTCCTTTAGATATGCGTACAACAATACTCGTTAATTAATATCATGACTTATGAGATTGCTTAACGAAATCTTCCTTATATGTTTTTCATTTAGAAACTATGTACCTACTAAATATGATCGTGCTCTTTAAACTACTTACATGCCTACATTTTTTTTCTTGACCGTCTATAAGGTTTTAAAAAATAAGTAATTTGTTAATTTTAACATAAATAGCTTCTTGATTTTAATGATTTTTTAAAATTAATATCACTCGGAAGTCAAGCCTACCACAATATGCGTATTTTAGTTTTATAAAAACTTATATAAGAAAATATCAATAATCAACGCAACTTAAATATGAATACATATAAGCTTTCATATTTGGGATAGATGCTACTTAGATCGTTATACTACAATATGTTCGAAGCTTTTATACTCATATATTTCTTTGGATATGCGTACAACAATACTTTTAATTAATATCATGACTTATGAGATTGCTTAACGAATTCTTCCTTTTATGTTTTTCATTTAGAAACTATGTACCTACTAAATATGATCGTGCTCTTTAAACCACTTAGATGCCCTTTTTTTTTTCGTGACCGTCTATAAGGTTTTAAAAAATAAGTAATTTGTTAATTTTAACATAAATAGCTTCTTGATTTTAATTATTTTTTAAAATTAATATCGCTCGGAAGTTAGGCCTACTACAATATGCATATTCTAATTTTATAAAAAATTATATAAGAAAATAGCAATAATCAACGCAACTTAAATACGAATACATATAAGCTTTCATATTTGGGATAGATGCTACTTAGACCGCTATACTACAATATGTTTGAAGCTTTTATACTAATTTATTCCTTTGGATATGCGTACAACAATACTTTTAATTAATATCATGACTTATGAGATTGCTTAACGAAATCTTCCTTTGATGTTTTTCATTTAGAAACTATGTACCTACTAAATATGATCGTGCTCTTTAAACCACTTACATGCCTTTTTTTTTTTTTTTGTGACCGTCTATAAGGTTTTAAAAACTAAGTAATTTGTTAATTTTAACATAAATAGCTTCTTGATTTTCATGATTTTTTTAAATTAATATCGCTCGGAAGTCGTGCCTACTACAATATGTGTATTCTAGTTTTATAAAAAATTACATAAGAAAATTTCAATAATCAACGCAACTTAAATACGAATACATATAAGCTTTCATATTTGGGATAGATGTTACTTAGACCGCTATACTACAATATGTTCAAAGCTTTTATACTCATATATTCCTTTGGATACTTCTACCGAGTATGGCTAATAGTTAAAACGAGAAAGAAAAATTTCGTTTGCTTTTTTAAAGGAGATTTTAGGGTGGAAATTAAGGGTGAGTAATTGATTAAACTGTTTGGTTTTATATAAATTCGATTCAATTTTTTATTAACTGAATTAAGAAATATCAAAATCGAAATCGAACCAAAATAAATTTGATAAATTCGGTTTGAAATCAAATTATTTTGGTTTAGTTTTATAAAAATTCGATTTTAACTGAAATATTCTTTTTTAATTCGTAAGTTCTAAATATAGACTAGGTTAATATTTAGAGGTTTTTTTATTTTTTAACATATGGGTTAGACTAATAAAAGGTACGCTTCCTCCTTAAATACCATAACTTAAATCCTAAAGTATGTATAGGAAATGAAATTTTTATAAATTCCTAATTTTTTTAAGTGGTGGTTAAACGTTTTTTTTTTAGTTTTTATTTTCAATATATTCAATTTTCGATAGAAATCGAATTTTTTAAAAAAATCAAACCGAATCGAAATGATTTTGGTATTTTGATTCGGTTTTTAATTTTATAAATTTAAGTTTAAAATTGAATCAAAATTCATAATTTGGTTAAATTTAATTCAATTTATTGATTAATCGGAATTACGCTCACCACCACGAGGGAAAATGAAGAATGGTTTTTTTTTTTTTTGGTAGTGATATAAAATCCTAAATTAACAAAATAAATTTGGGATTTATGCCACTTTTTCTTTTCTTGTACAGCAGAAGGGCGATGAGGTAATACATTGACCAAACTAGGCAGAGTAAATTGTAAAACGTGACTTGATGTTGACGTGGCAGACTCCTAGCGGCTAAAAAGATTGAAGATTACTTAACAACAACGATAAGTCGATAACAACATTTCTCTCTTTAATTCCTTCTTTCTCTCTCTAGAAATTTCCCTCTTTTTGGAGAGAGAAAGTGAGAGAGAGTCAATTCCTGGCTTCCATCTCTATAGATATCGTAAAACAGAGAGAGAACCTAAGAACAGAAAAGATTACAGGAACAAATGGATGCGATATTGAACAAGGTTGGCTCTTATTGGATCGGTCAGAGAGCTAACAAGGAGCTTAATTCTGTCGGCGACGACATCAACGTATGTTTTTCTTTTCTTTTCTTTTCTTTTCTTTTCTTTTGTAATTTTTGGTACTTTAGATTTTTTTTTAATAATTTAAAAGTTTGATCTGGCGCATTAAGTTGTTTCCTCTATTGATTAGGTTATCACTTGAATGTTAATTGTAATTACTACGCGTTGAAATGTAATTAAGATAATGATTGCGGAAGTAATTATCAGTTTTGTTTCAAAAAAACAGAAAACAGAATTTGGTGTTTGTTTGGAAATATATTAAAAGAAGATATAAAGGGTTTGTATTGTTCCTTTTGATGGAAATTGATGATGGCTGGGTTTGTTTTGTTTTGTTATTGTTTTTATAATGCTGGAGATTAGTGTTAATTGCTCTTAATTTTTGGATTAACAGCTAAATAAATGATTTGAGTATGTGGGATTCTTAATGATGTTGCAGAATTAAAGATCAAAGAACTAGTCTAGGCAAATATGTCTAGTCTTATCATAGTTTTACTCAGCAATGGACGGCATGACTTGTATCGTTGCAATTCTCAAAGTTACAAAATCTGAAATATTGGCTAAGAGTAAAAGTTGAATGAGCTTTTATGTTTTAGAATTGTTTGTAATATTTTCCAGTACGAGATCGAATATTGGTTTTTATCAGCTTTTAGTTAGACATTATGGAACTGATTCCCTCTACCCGCCCTGCCGTTCAAGGTGGTGGCATTATCTAATTAACTCTATACTTAACATCAATCATTCATGCGCATGAACTTATTGCCTTTTGTGTGTTCTTTTTTCCTCTGAACTCTGCTGTCATTGCCTCAGTTATTGCATTTTGCTTGTTGATATCTGTCTCTTCTTAATCAGTCATTGTCAACGAGCATTGAAGGAGGAACGAAATGGTTGGTGAACAAACTCAAAGGTTTGTGAATAAGTTTGTTTGCTTTCTTTTTCCTCTTTTGCCACTTTGTGCTGCTGTAGTTAGTCTGTTTGTTTCTAACCTTCCTGCTTATGATTCTGAAAGGCGGTGCTTCTGCTGTTCTGTACTGCATTTGTGCTGAAACAAATGCACTAGTTTTCTCTCAGGATCCCAATGTCAAAAATTATCCTATAGATTTAAATCCAATTCCCTACTTTGGGAAGTATTGAAGTTTTCTAACCAATTGGGACCTTGAAGTTGGAGAACAATTATTGCAATGTGAAATAACTCTGATTTAATGGCTTGAATGGAATTTAGAAGCTCACCAAAGTGACATATCTATAACGCGAATAATAGTCAATTTGTGACTGTTCTGGTTAAAATGAATTATCGTCTACTGGCTGAAGGCTAACTTAAAATTCTGCTGTGATGTTGCTTTAGTCTGCTTAAGTTTGGAATAAGTTAAGTAAATTGAGTAGATGTCGAGGGAGTTTCCTGGAATAAGTTGGCAATCTGGAGCCAACATTATGTAATCCAAATTGTGATATTTTGAAGATAACCCTTTTTTGTTGAAACTACTGGTTTTGCACGCAGTCTCCTAATTAGAACTTTTAAATGTATCTTCTTTTGCTACTATCTTCATCAAGGGAATGACACTTTTTATATAGGAAAAATGCAAAAGCCATTACCAGATCTGCTTAAGGAGTATGACTTGCCAATAGGAATCTTCCCTCGTGATGCCACCAACTATGAGTTCAATGAAGAGACGAGAAAGCTTACTGTCTTTATTCCCTCAATCTGTGAAGTTGGCTACAAGGACTCCTCTGTTGTGCGTTTTTTGACCACTGTAACTGGGTATTTGGAGAAAGGAAAACTAGCTGATATAGAGGGGATGAAGACTAAAGTGATGATTTGGGTTAAAGTGACCTGTATTGCATCTGCTGGATCAAAGCTCAACTTCACAGCTGGGATGAAGAAAACCAGGGATAGAGGGGCTTATGAGGTTCTTCGAGATGGAGTGGGTGTAGACAAGTTCTGAAGTGGTATAATGCTTCTGAGGTATTATATTTTTGTGAACTGTTACTCCCTTGTTATTGCTTCTGGACCTCCTTTCCTTCTTCTACTGTAATTATAATGACTTTTTGAAATAAACTTAATGTGTTTCCTTTGTTCGTAGTTGTGATACGGTGAGTTTTCTCTGTTCTATGATTCATGATCGTATCATCTATGTTAACCTTGGCTACGCCTTTCCTTTTAGTGTTTCCGATCATAGGTACCATACCTTGTCGTGAGCAAGTTTGTAAGATCTGTTTAATATCTTAATTAATATAAAAAATTTAAGTTAATGAAATTAAAATAAATCTACATTAAGTGTGTTTATATTTTTGAGTTTATATATATGTATATAACGAATATGTTTGATTTTGATAAACAAAATAAATAAACATGCAATCAATTATATATTAACTAAAAATCTAATTAAAAGAATTAATAATTGGAGTATGGTAAGAATGGCAACCAAAGGGTGCTTGAGCCATGTATGTTGGAAGGAATGGCAACCAAAAGGGGCTTGAGCTATCTATGTTGGAAGGATGATTAATTTTAATCCACGAGTCGATAACTATTGATTAAAAATCTCATTATTCTCATGTTAATAGTTAGATTTTTTTATTATTATTAGTATTTTGCTTCAACATAATTTTGAACATCATATTTTAAAAAAAAACATATGTTAAAAAGCCATGATCAATTTTAAAAGGAGACATAATTAATAAAAAGTTAATATAAACTAAAAGATTATAAATTATTAATTATCAAATTCTTGTTATTTAAACTATTTCTTCTTCTATCTGCCTTTTCTATATGTTAATCTACGATAAATGTTGATATATTTTTTTAAGAAAATAATGTTATTGTCGTTAACTTTTTTTTTTAATTATGCATTTTAGATTGATTAATTATGAAAACTTAAATATTTCAAAAAAAAAAAAATTGGCAGTTAATAATTATTTTTTGCGAGGTTGCATGAATAACAATGATTTTTTTTTTTAACAGTGATTTTCAAAAAATAAACAAAAAAAAAAGTCAAAATTATGAAAAATGATGATCATTTTTTTGTTGCGAGGTTGTATGAAAAATACAAAAGTAACCCTTAATTATTTGTGAAAAATCAATATTAAGAAAACAATAAACAACGAAAAATAAAAGAAGAACTATAAAATCCTTGTTACTTAGACCTTCTTTTCTTCTTCTTCTTCTTAATGTTAATCTACAATTAAAGAAAAAACTATAAAATCCTTACTATTTAGACATCTTCTTCTTCTTAATGTTAGTCTACAATTAATGCTGCTATATATATATATTTGTGTGATATCATCTTATATTAATTAATTATCAATTATCAATTATCAAACTTTGTAAAAAAAAATGGCAATTAATCATTAATGTTTTATAAGATTGTATGAAGAATAATTAGTTTTTATAACAACGATTATTTTTATACTAATTTTGAAAAAAATAAAAAAAAAGTCAAAGTCAATAAAAAATAATATTTTTTTTACGTTGTATTAAAAATTAAAAAAAAAACCATTAATTATTTGGAGAAAATCGATATTGAGAAAATAATTAAATAATATACAGTTAAAAATAATGGGAAAAAAAGAAAAGAAAAACTACAAAAAAGAAGTGGAAGGATTGACACATCGTCCATTAGACTCCCATCAGCAGCGGCGCTACAATTTCGATAACCCTTCAGCAACTCTCGACGATCATTTTATCGTCGGAAAATATGGGGTTTCCGTTTTTGGCATTCCACATCTAATTTCTATACCATTTTCGGTAAAAATCATGCATGATGGGATCCATAGCTTACTTGCATTCGCGATTCGTATGCCCTAGGCGAAACTTATATTGCAATTGCGTCTGTGCAGAAGCAGAACGTTCTGGTGGCCTGTATCTGTACAATGAGCGGCAAAACTCATATTGCAATTGCCCCTGAAAAACATTCTGGCGACATGTCTCTGTAAAATGAGCCACTGAATGAAGTTAAGACTAGAGCCCCAATTACCTGTATGCCATGAAATTACGCTAGACGCAACTCGCTTTTGACTTTGACTACCACATCACTGATGCTTAGAAAATCCGCGGTCGACAAGTAAAAGTTGAACCACAGACTTGGCTGCATTTCGGATAAACATTGATTATTTTCGCTTGAACTTCCAGCCTCCTGACAAGGGAGTTAACAGGATGATGGTGCTTTTATGTTCTAATAATGCTGATAATTAAGGCAAAAAACCCCATCACGATGATTCATAAAAGGCAAAGAAGCCCAAGACTATAAAACAAGAATAATTTCCACTTTTCTTTTCAAGAATGGATCAAAATTAAAAAAAAAAAAGAAGTTTACAGCTGCACCAGCCGGGAATCGAACCCGGGTCTGTACCGTGGCAGGGTACTATTCTACCACTAGACCACTGGTGCTTCTCATTACCAAGCTGCTTATGTTAACTTTTTATCTATTTTATGAACAGTCGGCTTTTTACTTCCCAGTTGTTACAACCTTCGCATCTCTCTTTGCGATTGAAAATAAATGGATAAATGAAAGTTTTGAAAGTTTAACCGATAATCGAAAATGGTTCTACATTCTACACTAAATATTGCAGGTTAAAACCAGTGCTCGAAATGCGGATGAGTTGGCGAGATTACAGAATTAAAGTCCTTGATGCTGTCTTCAAGTCCATCATTGAAAGCCTGGGCATTGGGACTTCAGTCAAGTATTGTTTTGGCCGAGTGAATGCCAGAGCCAGAAACAATGGAACTTAAAAAACAACGATGCTATAATCTAGGGTGAATAGTGCAATTATCTGATAACAGGAGTAATTGAATGGCTTGTCAGACTTGGAAAATCCAGAATGTGGAGACCATGGGTTTCTAAGGCTATGACCAGCAAGCTCATCTGGACTAGTTGCTGTCTCCATGAACATGCAGCAATAGAAAAATCCAAGTTACCCCCATGAGATATCCAAAGGGCTCGACTATTGCTCTTTAAAGATGCATTTCGTCGCGTGGCATTTTTATGGATGATTAGCAGTCTAGACTTGAAAGGGACTTTGTAATCAGCAATAACCCAGCATCCATGCTAAGGACAGCCCTAGAAATATCCCAACAAAACCATATCGCTGGAGGCCATACCAGATACACCCAAATTTGTTATCCCCTAAATCTTTACGACTCGAAATTTCTACATGCTATAGAGCAGGGAATCAAATCAACCACGATAAATTGATTTTTGTATAATTCAATCGCAAGTGTCCAATCTGCATAATGTACATGTGAATTGGGTTTCTTGCATGACCTAACCTGCACTTTCAAAATCAATAATGGCTAGGTTTGGGGAAATTATGCTTATTTCTGTTGCTTTCTAATGCAGTTTTTACTGCTCATCAACTGCGTTGATTTACCAGCACATTCATGGATTCAAAATTCCTTAGTTATCCGGGTTGTCATTGAGTCGATGAAAGAAGTCTTTTGATGCTTCATAGGTAGACCAGCAAATTGCAGCAGCTGGAGCATGGAAGAGCATCCTAGGTATCCATCCCCGCATAAGCCCGTGGTATCCATCCTTCTTCACAATGGTTTTAATAACATTCCCAATTGAAGTACTAGAAAATCTATCACAGCCACAGACCCCCTGTGTAAGAAACAAGAAACTGGATGAGCCATATGTTATATCAGGAAACAAACCATTGCATAAAGGCGAATCAAACTATGCCTCATGCATAACAGTTAGCAAAGAATATCCTATACACCAGTAATCTATCCTTCCTTGCCAAGTTTCTTTCTCTTCTTCTGGGACCAACAGGGAAATTGACCAAATTCTGACCAATTTACTTGCAATCTAGTTCCCCTAACCAAATCTGTTTCTAACCTCCAATCAAATTTACAATATGTTTCAAGATCAAATGTTTGTTTTCTCAGTGATTTGGAACTACGAGCACCATGAACATAGGAAACTGAACTGAGTAGGAATACGAAAGAGGTGCTAAAAAAAGAAAAATTCTCAAATCTAAAATATCTAACAACAAAAATTACTGCACAGAATTTATGAAAGTGCAAAACTTCCTTTTCAACCCAAGATAAAACTGCGGCACAAGATAAGTGCATATTTCCTTTTTCTTTTTAAGAAGCAAATTGGACCATAATGAATCTTTTCGGCTTAATATTAGCAACAAGAAAAGAGTTTAATCAATTTAACGCTCCGATCCAGTTCATAAAGCAGCTCTTTCGTATTCGTTCAACCTCGCCCCAAATCCAGGCCAAAACAACATTGATTCTCAGACTTTGCTTGCTAAGCTCAAACTAAGAACAGTTAAAAAATGCCAGAGAAAACATATAATTCTAATTGCCAGGAAAACATGATCAAGTAATCTTGATTCCGAAACCAACTTGATCGCTTCTATAGCTTATAACACTACATCAGAAATAAGGAAAAAGAAGAAGGAAAAAAAAAAAAAAGAAACAGCAAAGATTCGTTTAAAGTAATTAAGCAATAATTACAACAATCAAAGCAATAAGCTTTTTACCTGACACTGCAACTGCGTTTTAACAACATCAAGAGGCGTAGTAACAACAGCAGCCAAAGCACCAGCAGCAGCACCAGCAGTAGCATGAACAACCAGCCTCTCATCATCAGCAATATCCGGCGAAACCTCAATCAAACCATTCTTCACCGCCTCATAAGTCGCAAAGTGAACTGCCGTAAAAGGCGCGTTCATAATCACAGTAGTCTTATACGAAGCATAAAACGCACCAATCCCTTCTTCAAAAAGAACCCTCTTCACACAATCCACAACTCCTTTATACGGACTACTCTTCAACTGCAACCTCTGCTTCACCACATCCATCGGATTCAAAACGGCATCACTCGCCACCGTAGCACAAACACCCGAAACCGCATGAGCCACTGAATTATTCGAATCCCCACGAGAAAAAACCTGCTTGCAAAACTCATAAACTGAAAAATAAACAGCATGAGCAGGTCCTGCACCAAGGCCCATGGCACCAATGCCTCTATAAAACCCAGCAGCACCTTCAGTTTTCAAAATTGACTTGAAAGCTTGCCGGACATTGATGTTTTGAGCCGGGTATGACCCGGACCCGCCAAGGGCTTGCATGCGGGTTTTCAGAGTGTCAACAGGGAACATAGCCATGTGCTCAACGGAACCAGCTATGGATCCGGCAACCATGAACTGCCAAAACTGGAGACCGTCATGGGTTTTCTGGGAAATCGATAGTTCTGATATCTCGGGGTGGAAATCAGTAGGGGGCCGATATTTCGTGGAGGTATCATTAGTGGTGGTGGTGGCCATTGCAGGAGTAGTAAGAAAGAGGAAGAGGGAGTGTTACGGTTAGAAAAGAGAAGAGGATTTGGAAATGTGGAGGCCATAGCCATAGGTTCAGCTTTTATTTAAGTATGGGGAGAGGCTGTAGTGAGGAAAATTTTTCAGAATATAGGAAAGGGACTGAGTTGAACAAGATAGGAAAAGAGCTTTCAATGCTTTATTTCTTTTGGTTGTTTCCATTTTTTAATGTTTTTTGGAGGGAGAGAAAAGATGCAGCAGAATCGAATGGGTAAGATTTAAATTAGTACCTCTCGTTTAGAGAAACAAATTCATTAGTCCTTTTCCTTTCAAAAACTAATAATTAGGACATTTTTTATTATTATTCTTTTACCATAATACCAAGAAACCTAGGACTGCCAAATTTTTCTATCTTGGTTTTGAATTCGTGCAAACTTATGTAAGGTTGTACTATTTTATAAATATTGTCATCTTTGATTTTTAATACTTATTAATGTTGTTATTAGTTTTTATTTATATATTTTTAAATGTTATAGATTTCTTATAATGAGTTTTAATTAAGAGTACAATGCATAATTTAAATATTTTGGTTATACAATCATTTTGGAATAATTTAAAAACAATCTTTTCAAAAAAAGTATTTTTAAAAAAATTCCAAAACACCAAAAATCTTAGTAATTAGTTTTGAAAAATTAACAAAAACTATTTCATATAACAATTGATCTAAGCTTAGTTGTCTCATACAATGCACGTTCAATTTGAGACAAGAAAATCAAAATAAGAAAATCAAAATAATTTTTAGGATAATGTACTAAATTGTACTTAGTATTCATAGATACTAAATCTAGATATGTGATATTAGAGATACACATCAATGGACCGTTAGATTTTAATTTATATAATAAACACAATATCTAATTATACATTTAATGCATTAGTGTTGTACGTAAGCGGGCTGTAATGTTTATTAAATAAGTTGTAATGTTTTATCATTTCATAGCAAAAGAAAAATAAAGTGTTTTGTTCCGTCCTAAAATTGAAGTACTTCATTTTAAGGTTGGGCTGGACCATCAGGAAGTTTGAAAATTTGAAGAATGGCTCAAAAGCATAGAGCACAGACATAACTATAGAAAATCACGATGAAAGAACTCTAAATAATTTTTGGAAGTATCGAAAAGAATTAATTTTTTTTAGTGTATTATATTATGTAATTTAAAATTTTCAAATTTGCAATAACAAATAATAAATATATAAAAGATAATTTTATCCATAATTGGTTTTTGTATTCTTCGTTTTTTTTTTTTAATCGAGTTATTTGCTTTTTATTTGATAGATTTCTTGTATGTTATGTAATATTTATAATATATACGGTCCCTTCCTCAGAGTTGATAGTTGATCAACAAATTTGAACCAAAAAATTATTGACATGTGTCTATTTTCAATAAAAATAAAAAATATATATTTTTTATATAAATGGAAAAGGATACTCAATTTTTAAAAATCAACTTCCAGTATAGATTTCCGTTCATCACAAAAATATCAATTAAATTTTTTTAGATCAGTTCACACACACATACATGAAAAGTTTTAGCTTTTAATTTTATTAGTTTTAGACTTTTACTAATTTTTATTTTTTTATTGAAAATATGATTTTGAAAATTTAATTTAATTTTTCATGTTAACATTTAGTATTACTTATTGTATTTTTAATTAGAAATGAGAATTTATTTCGAGATTGATTTTATTTATTTATTTATTAAAAAATTAAAATGAAAAGTAATATGTTAATTAAAATGATTAATTTTTATTTAAAATTATTTTTAGTTCCTTTTTAAGAAAATTATAAACTCTGCATGACATTCCCCATGTATCACTATAAAACAAAGTACATTTAAAATTATTTTAAATACAAAGAACAAATTAATTCGAGGAATCTTGATTAATTTTTCTCCGGTGTTGATGTAGCAATGCGAAGGAAAAAATTGTACTAGCATAAAAGGGAGCGATGAATCGCCTCCTTTTCCAAAAATTTATTTTCCTTTTCTCCCTCTCTCGCGCCACTTTCTCTCCCACGACTTCTTCCAACTTTCTCTTCAATTCCCAAGCTAATCCATTGTTAAATTAGCTTAGTAAAACCATAGATTAGAAGATTTAAGTGGAGTTTAGCTAGCATAGAGCTTGAGAAGCTTGAAAAGCTAGGATTGATTTGGGATTTGAAGGACAAAGTGTAAAGATAAGATTTATGATCAATTAACCATGAATTGAGATGTTTATGTGTGGTTGATGATAATATTGGAATGCAATTGCTTTGAATTGTGATTTGTTTGAGGAATTGATTAGAATAAGGTCAAAGCTTTGAGACCCATTTAGGAAAAAATGGTTTTAAGTGATTGTAATGACTTGAATGATGTTTAATTGTCTTAGGTAAGTGAATTAAGAAGTTAATTTGAAGTAAAATTGAGTGAATTTGAGAAATTGAGAAGTTGAAGATGATGAATAATGACAAATTCGAAAATTGAGGAAAATGAGGAACTAAGCTATGTAATCGCAATTAAAGGTTAAGGGCATGAGTATTGGATGAATTAAGATGGAATTGATTACTTAATTGAAGGTGGATTAATTAAATGTTTGAATTGAAAATTCATGATTTAATTAAGAATTGGTGTTGATAGGATTTAGCTAAATAATGGATTGGAATTATTGGAGAGATTATAGAATTCGGTTAGGTTTTCGGTTCGAGTCTTTCCAATCAATTTCATTTTTATTTGATAATCTTGTATTTTAATTCTAGAATAATTCATTGTTTGAATTATTCCTTATTATGTGATGTTAATGGTTGTCTATCATTATGTGATTAGATTCCTCAAAGCGGGTGACTCCTTCACAATCGTCTTGACTCCGTTCAATTCTCCATTTATACTCGAGTGGATATTATATAGTGTACTTGTGTTTTAAATTTCTTTGAATTATGTTTATCATGCATCATTTTTAAGAATGATTTAGAAGCACTCCAAGTATAACTTAGATGGAAACAAACTTCTTAATATTTGAAATGTTTTCGTATTAAAATGATTTGATGTGAATGAAAAAAGAAATTTCAATGTGTTGAACAAATATGTTTATGGTTTTGATATGTGCTTTTGGAATTGAACTTGAATGTGTTATATCCATTATTTTGAGCATCCGTATAATTTCTAAAAATGCATGCATGGCATTTGAAATACCGATTTAAAAAATATATAAATATGTTTGGTTTTCGAAAAATGTTTTCGAGACCACTAGACCTAGCTATCGGGTAGGTAGCCTTTGAGCTCAATGATACGAGGCTCCGGCTAGCGGGAGAGGTGTACTTGCTAGCTCATGTGTCGGTCAACATACGAAACCTAGTCATGGGGGGTGACCTTTAGGTGTTCGCACCTAATGATATGTTGTTATCCTACGGGTGTATAAAAACCTATATGTATGATTTCGTATGGCTATGATACATGTATATATGAATGATTTGATACGAAATGGTCTTAAACCATGTAATGGTGATATACGATTTGATTTTCGATATGCATGTGTTTGAAAAAACTAGCATGACATGTTGAGTTGAATTTTAAATTTTGTCCTTAGTCCATTTCTCTTCCGAGTATGTTATATAATGTCGACTCACTAAATTGATGATTTCTCACCCCTCATTATTTCAGTCTTGCAAGATATTGAGGGATTGCTCATTTCTTTCTTTTAGCTACTTGATCCAAAGTCGGCACTTTGGTGTTGCAACTTACTTTAATTATAATTTTCTAAAACCTATGTTTGTTTTAAATTGTAATCTTAGATGCTTTGCGATTATAGCTATGGGTATTGTATTAGAAATTAATTATGAATATGGATTGAAAAATACAATGATGGTATTAAAATTATAATTTATGTTGAAGTATATAATGTGATTGATATTAGTTCGAGTATTGTGAGATGAAATAATATTTGATGATGTTTGAGTAGTATAAGTATCCGAGGCTTCCTTGGATTGAGGTAGGCCTCATAGTTCCCTCGATTCTCATACCGGTCATGGCCCACTCCTAAGGTCATGACAAGTGTTGGTATCGAGCATAAGCTTTAGAGTCTAGGATAACTATAGAGTATAGGTTCTATTTTAATCCATGTATTTTCCTTGAATCACATGGATCAATCTATTAGTATGTGTTCTAGTCCTTTTGCTTATAGTCTTGCATTGCGTGCGAGAATTATGATTTTATCATACAAAAATTATAACGCCCCGCCCCAGTCATATTTCTACTACCCAAGTAGGGTATTGGACGAAACGCGTTACGCTGACATACCCTAAACTCTAAGTAGTTTTCTTATTATATTCTTAGGACTTTAACGAGTACATTACGTATATAACTCCTTAAGATAAAATTTACATAACATAATTAAATACATTAATAAAACATTACGGGCGATATTCAATTTCTCACGAACTCCATACCCCAAATTTACGAGACAAAATAAAAACTAATAAATAGTGCCTCACATGAGCCGGTTAGGAGGAGCCAGCCGCATCCGTACCAACTCGTCCTTTTTACGTCAAGACATAAAAAAATAACAACGAGGTGAGCCGAAGCTCGGTAAGCGGGGTGATGCACGTGATATGCAATGTTGTTTTGACTTCCCACCATACTCATAAATTTTAATCTCGGGTACCACGGGTATTAGCCGGTCTACTCTATTTATCATCCGGGTGGTCCGCGGATCACCTTCTGCTACAACGGAATTATCCCTCGTTGTAACTACCGTTAGCGAGAATCCATCGTCTAACGAGTAAGCACACGGTTTGATTTCATCCGGATGATCCTCGGATCATCTTCTGCTACAACGGAATTATCCCTCGTTGTAACTACTATTAGCGAAAATCGATCGTCTAATAGTGCGGGCACACATCCTAGAAGTCTTGGACTACTAATACCCATTTATTCCGAGTTAGGTTATCAAACCTAGATGTATAAACCATTTTCAATCAATTGACTTGTCTTAAACCACCCACTATGCACATGATGCACGTGATGACATATTTAATCACATTCAACCAAATTCGGGTACCAACCCTTCATTCTCATGCTATACTCATGGTCCAACCCACACTCGAAATTTATTCATTTCTCACATACCAATCCCGATACCCACAGCGGGAACACAATCTCCGCTCATTAATATTGTTCATTAGTTTCATTAATATTTAAAATAAGGTCCAAGTCCATTTACTTTAATTCGAGCCCATTAAAT